ACGATTTAAAGATGAAATCCATCAGAATTCCACGGAATCGTGACGGTTGGGATCTCGTGACCCCGTTCGAGCCAGCTTTTGATCACGTCGCCGTCCGGAACGGTGCACGCGTTTCTCGCCGCGACTCCTTCGTCCTCGTCTCGACGGTTTTTGCGTCGGCCACGTCTCGAGAGAGCCGCTACCACGGGAGAGAAGTTTAAAGGTAAACGGGTTTCTCGCAGACGCGAGCATCGCCACATCACCAGGAGGCTATGGCCTCTCTCGGTCAGATTCACCGGCCGTACGTAACGCGTCTCGAGGTTTCAGACGTTGCCTTTATTCTCTCCTTATTTTTCTTTATTTCTCTTCGTTCTTCTTTCCTTTTTTTTTTTTTTTTTTTTCTGTTTTAGTTTCAGTTAAAAATACACGGTATTCTTCCGTTCGAGATGATCCGGTTAATCGGCCGGATGCTTTGACTTTTCGAAGTCGAATGTTCGATGACCCGATCCGTACAGAATCGTTTAGGATGACCGTGAATACTTGAAATATATTTCGAGGATACGAGGAAAGTTTTCGATATTTGTTTTTTTCTCTTTTATTATTCTTGTAAATTGTTATTTGAATTTGTATAACGATCCAAAGTATGAATAATCGCGATATTAAATATTTGAAAATTTATATATTTTGAAGCTATGAGGATCTATTATTCGCGGTTTCAAATATTATTTTATCAAATTTTTTTATCTCTTCATATAAGAAATTCGTTTAAACGCGTTCCTTCCCGTCCATCCGAAACGAAAATGTCCGCGGACCTTGCACTATCGTGCAAAGCGTTCGAGATGTTCTTATTATTATTGCGTCAAAGAGACGTATTAGACGTTAAGTAGCGTTTAATAGCACCTGTTACGTTACTTCGTCCATTCCCTTATCTCTGTTAATGATATACAGCGGCCAAGACACAGTAAATATCCAGCATATGGTACATTTAAATTAACTGCCACAAGTGCACGAGTATCATTATCATTTCCGTAAGGAAATAAACGTCATTGTTGTGTCCATAAAGTGAAAGATAATAAATTAAATAATACGCAATATAATCTTTAAAATATAATTTTATGCGGCTTTACGTTCAATTTTACTTAACCCTCTATAATGTAAATGAAAAATTATAAATACGTATCTATCTATCCTTTTTTTTTTTTTTTAAATCTTGTTTATCCCATCTTCTTATCATTACGCAATTGTATTTTATTATTTGTAATAATAATAATAATGATAATTTTTAAATCAAAATAAGAAGAAATTATTATATCACAATTTTTAATTATTAAGCATAGAAAGTTCCATTACTTTATCGATTATTGAAAATTATATAATGTGAAATGATTTATATACAAATTTTTATTTTAACAATTGTTGAGATGATCAGAAACGGTATTGACGCGATAGAAAGAAGAAATAAATAATATTTGAAAAAAAAAGAAAACAAAATATTAATATTGATACCGATTGAAAAGAAAGGATTGCAAATTAAAAAAAAAAATTTTGAACTCGCATAAGAATAATTAAATATTTCGATTTTTAATTCGGATTCCTTTAAGTCATCGGTAATAAGAATCATCGATTATATGGAAATTAAACAAAGTTCACTATCTTTTTTAGATATCCTTATCTCCCCCACGTGACATATGGCGTGTTTACCTGTCGTCCCTGTGCAGACCATCTAGTTTTCACGATATCATGCTACTTGCAGTTAACTAAAAATTCTGTTCTAGCACCTGATAGTTTCATTATTAATCTTCGTATATGGCTTAATATATTGGCCAATCGTTGGTTCAGATACGATTTCCAATTGATAATATCCGCAATAAATAATATTTCGTATTTTTCCTATTCGATTCTATCGAAAAAATTTCAATACCTCTTTAAAATTCAATGTTTTAAATAGCTTCGAAATTTATTCTTATTTGAACAACGCACAACGTGGATTTAATCAGCAACTGTAAAAAGTATTACGATTTTCTGTAAAAAGAAAAAAATTCAAAAATTCATTTAATTTCAATAACTCCTTTAACAAAGATAACTCCTTTTTTGATTACATTGAAGGGTAGATTTTGGAAGACAAGTCGAGCAGAAAACTTGGTAATGCAAAAGTGTTAATGCTTATCGAGTTACAAGTGATTCAAGTTAACGTTAGATGAAGCGAGACGCAAATAGAATCGGACAGCTCCATCTTCGTCCCACTGTCGTGTCATTCTATCTTCGTCTCGCTTCATCTAACTTCAATAGCTTGGCGAATAAGTATCTCGGCCAACATTTTTGCGTAACAACTTTTTTTACGTTTTTTTTTTTTTTTTTTTTT